CAATGGCAACGGCCAACAGGTGCCGAGGCGTGCGCAAAGCGACGCACCCTCTCGATTGGTTGATGGGGATGTCGAAGTAGGCCGACAGATAGCGTGCGGTGATCTGCCATCCACCGGAAGGGGCGAGAGGCTGTCAGTGCTGGCACACTCTTGCGTGCGTGCGTGCGTGCGTGCGTGCGTGCGCGCGGGATTTTGCAAGGTGGAGATATTTGGCGCACAGGTTGCTTATCCTGGTTGACCCACTGGTCCAGGTGCTCGAGCACACGTGGCTCCACTTGGGAGGAGGCCATGTCGCGGGGCAAGAGAGGAGGGACAGAGAAGGAGGGAAATGAAGGGAGGGGGAGAGAAAGAATAAGGCCGTAGGGAGGGCGCGTCAGAGGGAAGGGAGAAGGAGAGAGCAAGCTCGTGTGCCTCCCATCTGGTCTCAGACAAGGTGGATCCCTTTCGAGCCCCCTGCCCCGGGGCCGGTCCGGGGGAGATCGGTCAGCCTGCCTCGGCCTGCTGTACCCGCCCGCCCGCCCGCCCGCCCGCCCGCCCCCCCTAGCCGTGTCCCCTGTGCAAAGGGGGGGGGGGGCCGCCAGCCGGGGTGCGGGTGTCCCCTCTCGGTCGAGTTTAAATTGCCCGGCGCCACCGGAGGCAGATCGTAACTGCCAGCGGGGCGTCAAAAGTGAAAAGCCATAAATACCTTTGTTTCGAACTCCCAACTAACATAGTCTAGTGGTATGATTCTCGCTTTGGGTGCGAGAGGTCCCGGGTTCGATTCCCGGTGTTCCCCGATTTTTGGGCCCCGGTGTTAACGTCCTCCAAGGGCCCGACGTCGTCAGCAAAAAAGAGCAAACGCAAGGCGGTAGAGGTATATTATGCTGGGGCGCCTCCGGGGACATCGTGCGTGCAGGGACAGCGGGGGAGAGGTGGGGGGGGAGCTGCTCGCAGTCAGGAACAAGTGCTCCGCCCCCCTCCCCCCCGGGCGCCGACAACTGGGCCGGGGCGGGGAGCGATAGAGGCGCATTTTGCGCAAGCCACGTTTTCGCCCAGGGGGGCCAGGCTGTGGGTGTTGTTTTCCGGCCCTGGCCGAAGCCCCGTGCGGTGGTCAGGATTGGGGCAAGGGAACCGTGTAGCTGGGGGGGGGGGGCGCGCGCGCTCGCGCGCGTGGATCTGGGCCTTATCCCCCCTCGCTCGGCATGCATGGGGAGTACTGCCGGGCATGACAGGGCCCTGGGCGTTGGAGGCCGTGGGGGGGGGTACAGGTTGGCTGGAGGCCGGGCGCACATCGGCGGCCGCCGGCCTGCGTGAAAGCCGGATCTATTGTGCCAGGGCACATGCTCCGGTCGCCACCAGCGCATGGGCCGTGCGTCCGTGGGCGCCCCCTTCGGGCGGTCTTTGGGGATCCGCCACCGGGCGGGGGGGGGGGGGTGGAGGCGGGGCAGGGCAGGACAACCTCCAACCCCGGTTCTCTGACGGCTGGGGGGGGGGGATCCCCCAACCCTCGTCCTCCTGGCGTCCCCCCCTCCCTCTCCCCCGACAGCGCGAGGGCCTGCCCAGCCTGTTACCGCCAGACGTGCGGCGAGCGGGGCGGAATGGCCTGAGTCGGGACTGCCGCAACGTTGCGTGGTCAGCCCTAGCGGAGTAGACGAGATCGGTTTCACGCCGCGCGCCCCGGGGGACGATCTGATCTCCGGAGGGGGGGAGCGCCCGCCGCAGCTGGTCGCGCCGGCGCTGTTCCCAACCCCGGGACACTGGACGCCGGGTGGTCTCCATGGTATGTGTGCTCGTGCTTGACTGTGTGTGGTGGTGGTGTGTGCGTGTGTGCGTGTGTGCGTGTGTGTGTGTGTGTGTGTGGGGGGGGGTCCCTTGGCCAGTTTTTAGACCCCATCCTCGGACCGCGAGGGCGCCAGGCGACGAGGCCGCCAGATGACTCGGGTGATTTCTTTGCTCGATTCGCCTTCCCTTTCTCCCCTCTCCCTCCTCCCCCTCCCCCCCCCTCCCCTGCCCAACGCCCCTGCATACGGGCACGCGGTGACATGTTTTCCTCCGTTCTGTCTCTGGCTACCCGGTCCGCTGGCGCGAGTGTCCGCACCGGCTTCGCGGCCCGCTCCTCGCTCATGCGGTCCTTCGCCAGCGAGGCCCAGGACCCCCGTCTCACCGAGGTATGCGCCATCTCCGCCCTGTCCCTCTCCCCCTCCGGTGGGCGAGGTTGCGTGTCTCCCCGCGGGCTTCCCTTCTCACCGTTCATTCTCCCCGCCCCATCTCTGCCCTGCAGGAGCGCTTTTCCGACACGGCCGATGTGGTCATTGTTGGCGGTGGCCCGGCCGGTCTCTCGGCCGCTATCCGCCTGAAGCAGCTTGCCCAGGAGTCCGGCAAGGACCTGCGCGTGTGCCTCTTCGAGAAGGGCGGCGAGGTCGGCGCCCACATTCTCTCGGGTGCTGTCTTCGAGCCGACCGCTCTCAATGAGCTGATCCCCGACTGGAAGGCCAAGGGGGTACGTGTGAAGGCCGCCCTTCCCTCGGGCTTGCTTGGCCATGGTCCTCCCCAGTTGCTGAGCTGCTACCTTTGCTGACACCCGGCCCCCCTGCCCCCCATCAGGCTCCTCTCAATACCCCGGTCACCAGTGACCACATGTACTTCATGACCGACAACAACAAGTTCCCCCTGCCCCTGCCCAGCACGCTGGACAACCACGGGAACTACATCATCTCCCTGGGCAACCTGACTCGCTGGCTTGGCGAGCAGGCCGAGGAGCTCGGTGTCGAGATCTACCCCGGGTTTGCCGCCTCCGAGGTCCTGTATGACGAGACTGGCACCGGCATCCGGGGCATTGCCACCAACGATGTGGGCATCGGCAAGGATGGCAAGCCGAAGGACAACTTCCAGCGCGGCATGGAGTTCCGCGCCCGTGCGACCCTCATCTCCGAGGGCTGCCATGGCAGCCTGTCCAAGCAGCTCATTCGCAACTTCGACCTGCGCAAGGACGCCCAGCCGCAGACCTACGGCATTGGTCTGAAGGAGGTGCGCGTCTTGCTTTTTTTTTTCCCCCCCTTCCTCCCCCTATCTGCCCGCTGTCCCTGGCGCCCCATGCGCCCCTCCCTTGTTGGTCATGGTCACCCCTCGGCCTCCCCCGTTCTGACCACTTGTCCTCCCCCCCCACGCCCCCGCCCCCCTCATCCGCACGTCTCATCCTATCCATAGATTTGGGAGATCGACCCGGCCAAGCACGAGCTCGGCAAGGTGGTCCACGCCTCGGGCTTCCCCCTGTCCAATGACACCTACGGCGGGTCCTTCATGTACCATGGCGAGAACAACACCGTCTCCCTGGGCCTGGTGGTCGGCCTGGACTATGAGAATCCCTACCTGTCGCCGTACAAGGAGTTCCAGCGTATGAAGCTGCACCCGCTCTTCCGCGAGGTCCTCGAGGGCGGCCGGTGCGTCATGTACGGCGCACGCGCCCTCAATGAGGGCGGCATTCAGTCCCTGCCGAAGCTGCACTTCCCTGGTGGCATGCTGCTTGGCTGCTCGGCCGGCTTCCTCAACATGGCCAAGATCAAGGGCTCGCACACGGCCATGAAGAGTGGCATGCTGGCGGCCGAGTCGGTTTTCGAGGTCCTGGACCAGGAGTCCCCGATTGAGGAGGGCGCCGAGGACACCCAGCCCCCGCGCGACTTCTCCCTCTACGCCGACAAGGTTCGCAAGTCCTGGCTCTGGGACGAGCTGTACGCCATCCGCAATGTGCGCCCCGGTTTCTCGCACCTCGGCGGCCTGGCCGGCATGGTCTGGGCCGGGACCACGCTCATGGTCACCGGCGGTGCCGAGCCCTTCACCCTCCCGCACCCGGGGCCGGACCATGCGCATCTGAAGCCGGCCAAGGACTGCCAGCCCATCGAGTACCCCAAGGCCGACGGGGTGCTGACCTTCGACCTGCTGGAGAACCTCATGCGCTCTGGCACCAATCACGAGCATGACCAGCCCTCGCACCTGACCCTCAAGAACGCCAATGTCCCGGTGGATGTCAACCTCCGGGTGTATGGCGGCCCGGAGGCCCGGTTCTGCCCGGCTGGCGTTTATGAGTTTGTCGATGTGGATCCTGCCAGCCCGGAGCCCCTGACCAAGGCCGAGCGCGAGTTCGGCAAGCGCCTGCAGATCAACGCCCAGAACTGCCTCCATTGCAAGACCTGCGACATCAAGGACCCGAGCCAGAACATCAACTGGGTCGTGCCCGAGGGCGGTGGTGGCCCGGCGTACACCAACTCCTAAAGGGGCCCGACGAAGGGGGCCCACCGGCGTCTGGGGGGGGGGGGGGGCGTGACACTGCATCGCCGTACACTTCCGGCCTTCGGGAACGGTGGCGTGTGGTGTATGTCTCTCCTCCATGGCCTTTGCGGGCTGAGAGCTTTCCCCTTCCTTCACATGCACACGCACACTGCCTGACGTATGTGCGCCTGTGCGCCTGTGCGCCTATGCGCCTGTGCGCCTGTGTGTGTGCGTGCGTGCGTGCACACATGTGCTGGGGTTTCTTCTTCTTCTTTTTTGCACACACGCGCACACGCACGCGCGCCTGCGTGCGCACAGCTCCGGCCCGAGAAAAAAACCCCCCCCCCCCCTGTGACGCGAGCGGAGGGAGATCCACATGCACCGGCGGGTCCCCCCGCCCTTCCCGTCCTTCCCCTCTGTAGACACCAAATACGATTAGCTTCTTGCATTTCCTCGGTCGACGCTCGTTTGTGCCCCGTCCCCGATGCCCTGTTGCATGTGCGTGTGTGCGTGTGTGTGTGTGTGCGGGAAATGGCAAGGAGGAGGCAAAGAGCCAAGGCAGAAAGTTGTTTGCTTTATTCGTGGGGTTTTTTGTTCGATTCCTGCGAATGGCACTTCGGCCCAGGGACGAGGGGGGAGAGGGACGCGCAGGCGAGGGCGGACATGCAAATGTGCGGAGACGCCCATGCGCGGGAGACTGAAAAGTGCGACAATCGCCGGGCCTGCCGCTGCAAGCAGGACAGAGGGGCCTCCTTCGCTGCTCCTGCTCCCCCTGGCCTCGCGTCTGGGCTGCGCTCCCTCCCGCCGCCGGAGGGGGAGGGAAACAGAGAAACACAGAAGGGGAAAGACACAGACGGAGGAGCGGCAGGGAGAGGCACAGGCAAAGACAACGGCGGCCGGGGCCCAGGCACGACGCGTTGGCAGGTGCGCTTGGAGTCGGCTTAGTTGCCGGACCCGCTGGCATTGGCACGGATGGCGGCCGCGGCCTCGGACGCGGCGCGGGCGGCCTGTTGAGCCTTCTCCGCCTCGGCGGCGGCCTTCTCCGCGGCCTCGGCGGCCATGATCCGGGCAATCAGGATGTCCAGCTCCTCGCGAGTCAGCGCACGGAAGACCGGCTTCTTGGAGACCGGATGCAGAGTGAGAACCGCGATCTCAACTGGCCAAGGCAAGCATCGGTGGGGATGAGGGCCAGTCAGCGCATGCACAGCGGGGCGGCGGCGAGGGCGGCGGCGAGGGCGAGGGCGAGGGCGAGGGCGAGGCAGGAGGGACGGAAGAGCAACAGGCAAGGGGGATACGCACGCTTCTCCGAGGTGACATTCGACGATTCGATGGTCTTGCACAGGATCTTCACCGACAGGTTGATGGCATCCTCCAGGGTCAGCTCGATGGCGTCGTCCTGCGAGGTGGCCGAGGTGTGGGTGTCGGCCCCCGGGCCGTCGGCACCATCGGCACCGGAGCCACCGCTGGGCCCGGCCAGGTGGGTCTTGAGCATGCTCTGCGCGGTTTGGGCATTGGCCCCGACGCAGGTGGCGCGCCAGGCGCCAAAGTTGCCGGCCGGATCGCTGACATACAGCTGGTACCCGTTGTTGCGGTCCCAGCCGGCATACAGCATGGACACACCGTACGGGCGCAGGCCACCGAACTGGGTGTAGCCCTGCTTCAAGTCGGCCACCCGGGTGACCAGCTGCTCGACCGGCATCGGCTCGCTGAAGGTGGCCTCGAAGTTCTGGGCCACACTCCGTGCGTAGTGCACCAGGGTGTTGGCATCGGACACGATGCCGGCCACGCACACGGCAACATGGCTGAGATAGCAAGGCGGGGGAGAGAGAGAGAGAGAGGGAAGGGAGTACGGTGCACAGGTGCATGCAAGGGCGCGCCGACAAAAGGAGCCCAGGGGGTCAGTGGGACAGACAGCGTGGGCACAGGGAGCTGAAAGGAACGCAAGCGGGCGCGCACTCGTCCAAGACATAGGTCTTCTCCAGGTCGCGAGTCTCAAGCAGCTTGCTGGACACACGGCGCTCGGCCGCCAGGACGACGCCCTCCTTGGAGACGATACCCAGAGAGGTACCGGCGTGCGAAATGGCCTCAAGGGCGTACTCTACCTGGTAGAGACGGCCTTCGAGCCGGCAGGAGGGGGGGGGAGAGATGCACAGACAAAGAGGGGGCGAGAGAAAGGGAAGGAGAATCAGAATGCGCGGGCCAACGGCGGATCTGGCGGACAGGCCCGGAGGCGGGGGGCGGAGGGCGG